AGAAAGTGTTGGCTAGAAAGCTGTCAGCTGCATACACACACAGAAGAACACGGTCCCTGTCTGCTGCTATAAGGTTTTAACCTTTAATTCCTGAATTACAGTCAGTTAGCGATAGACAAAGGAGGAAATTCCCAAAATGTATCTGTACTCATACTGCCTCACATCACACACGGCAGCAGAAGCTCTCCCCAGCATGAACGGAACAGTCACACCAGTCCTCCCTCCCTCCATGCTTCTGCAGCTGAATCAGAAAGTGGCATGTTTTTTTTGAAGTGTAGTCCTTTTGGCAAATTCCAGCAGAAGCCCTCTCTTCCATCAGCCAACATACCATTGCATTATGACTGACTTCCTCACTCCTCCTATATTCAGTTAACTTTTTTTCCCCCACGGCTTCTTGATTTCTGTCCCTAATGCTGCATTTTGTCCATTAGATATTTCATAAAATTTTGTGGCTGCAAGGAGAGTTGCAATTGTAGCAGCACCAGCCAACCCTAGAAATCTCTACTAGCAAGTTATACAGCACACAGGCTACTGTTTTATGTACTTTTCAACCACCCACCCTCTGTAACCTGGCTCTTAATCACTAATTTCTCAAGCCTATAGTCAGAAAAGGGAAGAGAAAGGCAAATCAATCATACCCATCACAGCTGGGATTCAAACCTCTTGAAGGGCCCATTTCTCATGTGATAAAACACTCTGGCAAAAATATAAGCATATCTGTCTAAGTTGGAGGGGGTGGGGAAGGAGGCAGGTGAGAAGGAAATGGGTATCAGCACAAGAGGAAGAGAGGATTTGGACCTGTATTTATTCCCAGGTACCATGAAAACACAGCACGGGTTAAGCCTTCTTCCCTACAACCAGGGCCACTCTCCTGCAGAGCAGTACCCTTGCCTCCTGCCAGTGGCACAGTGGTACCCAGTGCAGGAGGTGAAGGTGATCGCCTGGCCCTGCAGGACTGCTTTCTTCAACAACTTCAGGAGGGTGTTTCAAGGCATGAGAAGCTGCAGCAAGAGCAGGTCACCATGCAGATGTTTCTAACCAAATCAGTACTCCAGCGAGCATATTTAAACATAAAGACTATCCTAGACAAGGAGCAAAGGCTTCACAACGGCTAAGGAAAGCTCTTCGCTTGCTCTGCGGCACCATCTAGCGCCAAGAAACCAACAATGCTCTTGGGAAAGCAAACCCATTCGGGGTTACGCCAACTTTAGAAACAAGGCAAAATAAACGCACGTAAATACATATCCAAAACAAACAAGACAACTTATGATAACTCGTTTTCCCTTTACACATGCTAGGGCCTACTTCTGTCACTCCAGTATCAGAAAGTTTCTGTCAAGTAATCTAAACTGGTTGCACACCAGTTGACATCCCAGCAGCGTGGACCTTGGAGCCCAGCCACACTCATTACCCCTATTCCCACTAGACTCAACAAAGCCAACAACAGCCATATGTTCTTTAAACGTACGTGCAGCCTTGCAGCTGCCTCGTGCTTCTGTTCCAGGCTGGAGGCTACACTGCTGCACCACATACACACTGGAAATCACAACTGAACCTCAATTACAGCAGCTCTGAAACAAAGACACATCAGCCTATAAGAGGTAGTCAGATACAGCACTCATGCACACCATCACCAACAGGTACATCTCTGGTTCCTAGAGATGCTGGCCTCTACAGACCATTAGCTTAGAGGTTAGTATTTCTGCTCAAACCACCACAGATCCCAAGAGGTTTCCCCCTGCTCTGGAAAGTTACATATACTTAATCCAAATTTATTACCACTACTAGTTGTTAGGGTGGCTTCTTTTATCCATTTCCTACATTCAAAAAAGTTCACTATTTTTTTTTTTATCATTTAGTTTTATAAGAAGCTTTATTTTTTTCCAAGAGCAGCTTAGCTCTTATCATTTTTACAGCTGCTTATTCGCAACATCAGAGGGATGATTCCTGTCACACAGAACTTCAGAGCCAGATTCTTTAGCCTTCAAGTACTCCAGCAAGTTTGACTAAGAGTAGGAAAGGTGATTTTTCTGCAATGATGAAGTCTCTAAAGAGTTAAAGAGCTCACATCTTATATTGTGTAAAGCTGTTCTCTCTAACTCAGGTTATTAAAAGCAGCAAATTCAGGCCTGACAATCCCCCAATATAATAATTTCCCAGTCTTTGGGTAGTGAAGAGATAACAATGAATAACCAAGCTGTTACAATCAGCAGAGAAGCAAAACACATACATACTTTTTACTCTGAGGGGACAAGAATTGCCTAAGATGTGTCACCACCTTGAATAATGAAAGCCAGCAGAAAGGTACCAAAAAGTCACTTAGAAAAACAAAAACCACAGGATAAGTGAAATGGGCTATAAGCAGTTATCTAGTGAATAAGCCATGGAGATTAGACACCACTGACTTCCAACACTCAAACCTGAGCCAAAAGGCTCCCAAGACTTAGTCCTTGATCATACAATATACCTGCATATACTTGGTGGCAAGATCTGCAGAGAAATGGTCACACAGAAAACCTTCTTGAGATTAAGAAACAGTATTCATTTTCAAGCACTGGTGTCAGCAGGACCTCATCAACAACAGGAAAAGCTAGCACAAATGCATTAGTTTCAAGTTTTATTTTTCATGTTGGTGAAACACATAGCCTCTTCTCAAGAGGCAGCATCTGTAGAGCTGTTACAAACACATTTTGTACTCTTAATACACCACAGATTTGGAAAAAGAACAAATAAAGCACAGGTTCTACACTGCACTTGGCCATACTAAGTTACAGATAATTTAGAAATCTTTCAATTTTACATATACATTGCGTTGGCCATCACACAGCCTTCATGCACTATTTAGTTTCAGCGGTGGGTTTTTTTTGTTTTGTTTTTTGTTTTTTTGGGGGGGTTGTGTTTTTGTTTTTTTTTTTTACAGTCAACACTGATTTTGGAAACTTCCTTGCTGAAAATGGTATCTTTCCCATTTTATACCATTTAAATGGTATTTACATAAGTGTGCAAATTGCTTTGAAAAATAGAAACAAACACTAACACATAATATACAGACAGCTTCTTCTATAGTTAGACATTTACTAAAAGGCAGTTAACATTCCTATCACACTTTCATTGCCTAAAATAGGAGAATAAGTTATATAAAATAGACCATCTTATTTTCAGACACTTTCATTTCAGATTTGGTCTTTGCAGCAACATTGCAATCACAGATTAAGATTCTATGCCTAAGATTCACAGAAACCCCATTCAGTGGCAGCTTAGTATGTTCAGGTTTATCTCAGATTTTCCACGTTTGGCACAGGGAAAAATAGAAAGTAATGGGGTTGTGGGGAAGACAGTCTTGCATATCTTTTTTTTTTTTTTTTGGCCATATGAAAAGTACACTTTAAGAACTGAATGCATAAATTTTAATTTCTCTTTTAAGGGCCTGTTAGTGTTATAAGCACAGTTTAAATAAAGCCTGCAAGTTCTTTCACAGAAGCACACACAAGTTTCACTATTTTTCCTATGCATATCATCTTCTCAGATATCTGCAACTGTTCATGCACACAAAAAAAGCAAACTCCTTGGGACCACTCAACAAAATTCATTTCAGAATTGGAAGCAGCAGGAAATGCTTGAAGAATATTAGCTGGTGTTCCCAATGCTCCTACACATGCATTTTTTTTTTAGTACTTGTAATAAAGACTCCCCATAAAAAGTGCATGGTTCACCTTCATGAACAAACCCTGAAGGCAGAAGTTGAGTAAACAGAGTGAGTTGCTCCAGTGGTGAAAAAAGAAGAGTTACAGGAAAGTCTTGAAAACTGTATTTCATGTAGACCTGTGACCATCTTCAAGGAAAAGCATCTTGTTTAGACTGTTTTATAGAAGAGCAAAAGAAATGTCTATATGCATCATTAATAACAAATCCAAGATTATTTCATAATACAAAAAGATGAAACCGTTTTTTGAACACCTGTTAAATTGAACATGACTTTCACAGCAGCCCTGCCTGCAAACTGCACAACCCACCACGATGCTAGTGAGAGCCATCCACCCCAAGGAAAGTGAGTATTAGCCCTTTAAAAGTTTATTTTCATCATAATTACATCTGACACTGATGTCAGACATCACATACATATGTTAGTCATATGCTTGATATTTCTGAAGATGTCCAATTCCTTAATATGGCAGAAACTGTAGCAACACTTAACACTGTGCTTTTGGTCTATTGTTTAATTGAACTTTGGGCATCATGTATCACACACAAATCCCTGATGAATTCCAAGTGATCTCACCCTAGTGCAATCTTGATTTGGTTCTTCTGAAGAAACAGACTACCAATATAGCTCTTAGTATGTCAATTTTTAAGCATAAAATGGTCAAACTAATTTAACACACTACAGAAGCTTGCAAAACACATGATGACTTGAAACCAAAGTAAAATGAAGACACATTAAAATTTTGTTACTCTGGATCATGAACTAGTTTGAAAAATGGTCTTTGTAAAAGACAGCTGTTCTACACTTAAAAAATACGAAAGAATGTCTTCATAATGTAAGTGTATTGATTAGTAAACAAACACTTTGGACACTCTTGATCTCAAACGTATCATTGAAACACTCCACTAAGTTTGTATTAAACAGTGTCTTCAGAGCTTTATATTCAATGCACATTATCTGCTACCTTCAGTTTTTTTGGTTATAGCATGCTTCCCAAAAACCACTAAGAAAGGTTGTCCACTCTTTCCATTCACAAGTTGGACATGATACACTACACACACATTGACTTTGAGATCAATAAAGCTCTTAACATGAAAGATATGTGTGTATTTTTAGGCTTCAGATCAGTTCACTTAGTATTTTCCATATCCATGTGGATACTGCTCATAAAAAATAAGGTAGTAAAATAATATTCTGCAGTGGGTAAAAACATGTTGAAAACAAGCTGAATGCTCCCCCTAGTGTTTATACTAGTGAAAAATCCTGCATGGCACAGGCTGCCTCTAATGGTGGAGAGAAATAGCCAATGAATGATAGTATGTTTAACTCGGAAAACAATCACAAACTTATTACTAGGACAAAATTTTGTCAGCTGTTGAAATCCAGGATTTAAAAATTTGTACCACTCTCCATATTCCAGTGCTTCTAGGGTTTTGGTTTCTTTTAAACTGTGCTTTCAGTAAAAATTTATCTCAAATTTTTCCCATCAACTGCAGAGAGCGCCCTGAGGAAGCTACCAGGTAAGAAATGAAGTCCAAAGATGTTTCAAGATGATAGCTAAAATCACGCTTTTTCTCCTGCATTGCACCCAGAAGCTGCCAAGTTAATATTAGCATTCCTGTATCACAATTGCAATGAAGCTCTGATAAATCTGGTACCTTTGGATATTCTCAACATCACAACTAAGTCAGATATTTAAGACTACCTATGCAGTAGCTAACATAGTCCACCAGAATATTCATCCTCTTCCTCATCAGCATGAGAGCCCACTGCAGCTGGTCCTCTTGCTTTGTCTTGTGCAGCATTTGGCGATTTCTTCTTGATTCCACCTCCTGGGACCACCAAGGTAAGACCAAGCTTGGCATACTGACAATTGTAAGAAAAGTTTAATATCTGCACTATCACAGAAGTAACAACTTGCTGAGTTGCACTGCACAGAACTGATTGACAACACTAAACATGTAGGAAACATTCAGTATAGAAAAGCAATTGATGCTACTTTCAAAGTATATTTTTCCAGATTAGAATGAGCCTAACATTGGTTCATTTTTTCTCTCTCAAACATTCTGAGAATGGGATGCAAGATCCATATTGACACTGCTTATTATAGAATAATTTTGTCACACTCTTACCGCTTCTGTGTTTCAAACTTTATGTAAGAAAAGAAAATTCAGAATGCAGGTTTGCATTATCTAATGATGGTTCATATATTAAGTCTTAAAAGTGGCTTTCAGTAAGACCTGTACCGTAATTTTTACTATTCAACATAATAAAGTAAAACTGGACAATACTGTTACAAAGTCTGGCACTGATAGATGTCTCTTTTACTTCACACCTTTCCTATCAAAAAAAAGGTGGTGGGAAGGATGGGCACAATCAACAGTGCCATCCTCTAGGCACCATATTTTGTAATGTTTATACTGTATCAGCTATATGGTAATCCTGAGATAAAGCACAAGCAGCAAACTGTTCTGGCCCCTAAGGAACCAAACTGAAGAGAACCGATTTTTGTTCAACTTGTCAAACTTACACAGCAAACCCATAACAAACTGCTCTTTCACCTAAGTCTTCTCAACATTGCAAAGGAACAATGATGTGGGAACTTACATAGGCAGCAAAGTGAAAGAAGACAAAATTTCACAGGCACGGGGTAGATAAATCCATAGGAACTGCCTACTTACATCATTGTCCATGTATTTGAAGAGTGGCAAGTTACAGACTTCAGAAACTTGATCCTGATCTTGCTGGTCATAACCTTCTAAAAGTTGCTCTAGTGCTGCACAGTCTTCACTTCCATTAAATCCTGGTATACTGAAGGAAATTAAAAGTTTATTTAGGGCATTTCAGCAATCCACTTAAGAATCTGATGGACTGCTTATTCCACAAAACTGCCTATAACCACTGTGATTTCTCCATGTACATGGCTCATGTCCATAAAATTAAACTTTCGGTAATAGTAGTTTGCATGCTGAGAGCAAGACCAGAACCATAATCAAGACAAAAGACAATATTAGAATTCTTCAATTTTTACTCACTAGTAAATAAGCTTTTCCTCTACTTCACATACAGAAAAAATCTGTAATTAGTTTCTATATATAAAATACAAATTGAAGACTTAGAAAATAAGGGAAAGACGTTTAAAGATTAAATTTGAAAAATGATTTCTAAAACTAAAGTACAAATTAACTTAAACATATGTTCAAGTCATTTCACTAAAAACAATTCAGGTAAAATATGCTGTTTCAGTATTTTGTTACTGAAGTCTTAATGAAAGCTGAAATTGAGAGTTGCTGGGAAAGCCTCTGGAACCAGTGTTTAAAACTAGTCCAGACTCTGACACCAAGATTTTCTCCTACATGTGTAACGAATGCCTTCTTCATTTCAATGTATTCAACTGGACTACCTTCTGCTGTCTAAATTATATTTTGGTTCAATCACCTATTTTTAACAAAGTCATGAAAAGTAGAAATCTTGCTTTTCTTCGAGTGCATGAGGGCAAGATCGTCTAGGTCAACATAATCAGAAATGTAGTAATTCACGTGCTGCAAACTTTTCTTTAACAAAAACAGTCAGATTAATCTTTCCCTCAATCTAATCACCATACTAGATAGTTTAAATGATTACACTGGGATGCTGCTATTACACGTTTTGAGATTGCACTCTGTATTTCCATCCTTAAACTGTAAAAAATTTAAAAATACAGTTAGAATTTCAACTTTTTAAGGGCTTCCATATATGGTGAAAAGACTCTGAAAAAACAAAGTTCAGTTACCAACATCCAGAAATACCCACTTTTAATCCTAAACATGTGTTTACAGTAGTTAATCCCTCTTTCTTCCATTTGAAACAAAGACACAACCCAAAGGTATCAGTAAGTCAAGAATGCCAGTCATAACACACTCCGCTCACCTTTTAACAAGGAAATAAAAACGGGAAGAAATTCTGATTTTCACCTCATTTCACCTGTCCCACATAACTAAGAATTACCGTAATAATTACAGCTAAACCTGTTAAGAGTGAAAAAAAGATTCCCAAGAGCCTTATACCAGGGAATGCTATTATTGTCCTGCAAGTCAACCAAAGTAGAGGCTTACAATTTGACAGTGTTTCCACCACTCTTTCATAAGAACAGATCAACATTAATGAAATATTCAGTGTAAAATTATAGGACTTGAAGGAGACTTACCTATAGCTTTCCCTCACACATCTTTCTGCGGCAACATAATCATTTCTGTGTAGATGAACTAAGACTTGAGCAATAGTTTTCTAAATAAACACAAAAAAAACCATGATGATTCTTTAGAAATTAACAATAAAGTATGAGAAAAATATGGGACTACTAATATTTGCTGGGAAAAAGGTCATTACAACTCACAATAATTCTAAGATACTCACACAAAATAGAACAACAGTGATAAAGTAGTAAGCCATATCCTCAGCAGGTGTGAAATAGATGACCTCCTACAACATTGTATTGAACTCTAGCACAAAGTAACAGTTTTTGTGATTAGTTCCTTTTTTATAACATCTTTATTTTTTATGTGTTTGCTGGTTTTGACATCTTCTGTGGATAACAGGGGAAACATGCACTACCACAAATTCTCATCATTTAGCAAGAAACTGATCCCTGAATCAAGAGGTACATATTGTCAGTCAGATGTCAGCTGCCATTATTTACCCAGAAAAACTTTCTAAGATGCACACTTCAAAATTCTCTCTTAGAATTTACCTTATAGCATGTTGGGTAATTTTCAATTTCTTTATAAATACTTTTTTCCTTTTGAAGAGACAACGCGGCTTCATCTAATCTAAAAAAAAAAAGAAAACAAAAAGAACAGGAGTATCAGTGCTAGGAATACAGCGTAATGAACCTGAGGCTAATGAGGCTAATTACAAAGTGTAACTAATGCAGTAGCAAGTCTACTGGAATAAACAAGAACACAACTGAAAATCAGCAGATCTTACCAACAGAACAGATAAAGAAAGATATAGTCAGCCACTCCTTCTGTATATATGCAAGTTAAGAACATCGCTGCTATTCATTCAGAGAAACCTTATTTTTCATAACATTGTACAAGATGAATACCTTGTTATGTACCCTAAGATTTCTTTATGTCATGAAGTTACTGTAAACAATCAGTAAGTCTGATATCCATGAACTATCAATATTAAGTCACAGTAACTGCTTTTGAGCATATTGAACTCCTAAAAACTAGTAATAGCACTTGAGCTATAACGCAGCAGAGCAACCAAATCTTTCAGAAGCTATGTGGACTTGCTTTCACAGAAAGACCTTCTGTGAAAGCCTTTCTAGCTTTTCTGACTACAATTCTACAGTGAAATAGCGTCTTTAAGTAGAATTAGAAAACAGACAATTTCTTAAAGGAACTACATGTTTCAGTGAAGCAAGTCCAAGCTGAACTGCAGGTCAAGTTTGGTGCTAGCAATTAACAGTTAAAATAAACTCCCACTGAGACACCAAGATATACTCTTCTTTAAGAAGTCCAGAATCAGACTGCTGCAAACAGATTTCTTTCCTGAGGTTAGTCACCTAATTCTCCTAATATTCCACAGCTAAATTTTTAAGTACTACATATTACTGGTGGAAGAAAAAAAATTAATTCCTGAAGTAGTTTAAGCTCTGGTATATGCTTTTTAGCTTTTCAACAAACACAAAGAAAACAAAGCCTTACAGTCCACATTCTACTATCCCAGAACACAAAGCAGGTGGCTCCTGGAAAAACATGGCATATCCCACAGAAACTGAATTTTAGTATGAACTGCGTCTCAAAGCAGAATTAAGTAACTGCATATAAACCAAATAACAGCAAGAAAAAAAACTAAAATAAAATCACTATTAAAGATTCAATTACAATAAAAAAGGAGGCATAAAGCTGTACCTGCGTCCTCTGACTAGAAGTCTTGATGCCTTCCCTAGCATTTCTAATGCTTGCCGTAAGCGTTCTTCGTTCTAGAAAAGAACAAAAAAACCCCCTCATGCATGCATATTTCATTCACACAGAATTAAGACCACTAAACTTTAATCTAAGTATGTCATCTGTAAATTGTGACAGCTGTTAATTATTATAACCACAGTCCACACACTCAAGAGCAAAGTCACATCAATGCAAACTTGCCAATCTGGAAACATGTGACCACTGACAATAAATAAGTATGCCAGTGCTGTAGCAAAAAGGCAAATCATCTGCTCACGGGATGGGCAGAGCATCAGGCGAACTCTTCTTTGCCTTCAAAGAACTATTTTAAGCTCTGGGACTCAACAGCAGCCATGTTATCTACCCTTTGGGCTGTCCAACAAAAGGCAGAAAACTTGGCAACATACAAAATTCAGGTTCAATCAAGTCCCAAACTGAGGAAAAGGCAAAGCAAACTGATTTTTATAATCTCCTTCTCTTCAGCCTCATTACTCAGACACGTATGTGAAAAAAAGGAAAAATAATTTAGAACCTAACCATAAGCTTTTTAGCTTTTTCTTTTAGCTTTTCTAACTTTATAACCGATCCTAATCACCAATTCATTCATCTTCATGTAGTTTATCCTTGCTGGGGGGAGGAGGGGAAGGGAACTTACTTCAAACACTGATGCTGCCTGCTGATAGAGCTGCACAGCCTTCTCTGGGCTCACATTTTCAATTAACCTGCAATAAACATAAGCCATTTCTCTTCTGATGAAATTAAAGCATTTTTTACCTGAAAGCATCAAAAGACAAGAAAAAATACCAGAGATATACCTATGTGCTGCATACATTCTAGCCACCAACACGACAGACTTACTTTCCAGCCCGTTCCAGTGCAATTGCTGCTGTATCTGGTGTTCCATTCTCCAGGTACATCATACTGGCTTTCTCAATCAGCTGAACTGCTTCAGGGAGTCTCTGCATCTCCTGCAAAGCAATAGGCAGAGGGATGTTCCTGTCAGGAACTGTGCTTATGTACAATGAGACAAATCAAAGCAAACTGTAATACCTTATTTATTAGGATTCTAACTTTTATTTACAAACTTGTAGAGCTAGTGAAATTCTGTAAGATTCACTTGTAAGTACCAAACTTTCACGTAAGGCATGTATTTGTGGTAGTTTGGAGCAGAAGCAGCACCACTCATCCATTAGCCTCTGACATTAGGCCCTCCCCTTTCCCTCTACAACAGAAAAAAAAACATTTTACACTCCAATTACAAATGCAGCTTCTGCAGCTTCCCTAACCAACTGACACTGGAGGGGGACACACACACACACAACGACAACACACATTATGAATCAACAGAAAAATCACCTCAATATACAGTTTGGTTACATATAATTCAAAAATGGCCCAATGCATGATATTCTTCACTATAAGCCAGAACTTTTTTAAAAAAATAGTAAATGAACATACCTTTAGCATCATGCCAGCTTGTTCATAAGCTCTGCAGAGAAAAAGTTTACAATTTAGTTATGATGTATTTTAGCAAGCTGTGGCTACAGAGCAAAAGTTACCATGCAACAGCTATCATTTCACTGTTAACATTTAATGCTTTGAAGATGTTTCAAGTGTTCTATTTAATGAGGCAGCACATGTGTAATGTTATCTTCACAAATTAAGTATGTCACCCATATTCCCTACTAAAATTTATTTCTCATGATCTGACCCACAGGCAATATCTGGATTACTTCTCATTATCTGCTTGATATGAAGTACACTCCAATTAAGTTTCTTTATAAGCTCAACAGTGTAGAACTTCAAAATTACAAAAAGCTCAGCAAAGAAAAAATATTTGGTATCAAAAGGTGCTGAAGAATGTCAAAATTATTATTTTTTCACATGGCCATTGCAGGTTTTCAAGCTTCCCTAGCCCGCACTTCCATTAAACTGATTTGGAAACAATGAAATCACTTGAATCATACCATTTACTACAGCAAGATCAAAATAATAGTTCGTGCTTGTACCATATGTTAGAATTTTTTTTCCAGATTATTCAGTGCTTCTGTACTTACTTGGCGGCATGGAAGAGACTGGAAGTAACATGTCAAAGTCAAGGACAAAAGCCACAAAATATAATGCAGAAATATTATTACAGCACAAAATCTTACACAAGTACTAGTTTCAAAGCAAGGAATCCCACAAAGGCAAAATCAAACCTACTACATTTGTAGGCAAGGCATTAAAAAAAAAAAAAAAAAAAAAAAAAAAAAAGTGCTTCTAAGGACAGAATAAATGCAACATACCAACGAATAACTGCATGTAAAGTTGAAAAAAAGCATATTTAAAATGTTCTTGGATATTAAATACCACTACAAGTACTGTAATTATGTCAGAGTTGCACTTAGATTATACTATCCACTTCCAGGTATTTAAGAATAAACAAAGCTGTAATTTCTGAAGCAGTATCCAGACATCTCAGGCATTGGTCAGCATCTTATCACTCCACTTGTTACGGGAAAAAACACAGATTTTTTTAAGCAGAAGAAGTTTTTAGTTTTGCCACTCAGAGAACATAGAAAGTGTCTTTTAGAAGTCAATTTTGTTAGCTTGACCAAACGTGCAAATATATTAAATACATCTTCTCCCAACTCTTCTTACACCATCCTAAGTAGCAATTAGTCAGCTTCTTGAAAAAAAGACTAGCATTTAATGAAAAGATACGCTTTATTGTTTTCATGCGCCTCAGCTTCCCGTAAGCAGGCTTCCCTTGCCTGGTCAAACTGCTTGGCGTTCTTAAAAGCAACAGCTGCAAGAAATCAAATAAAGTTCTTATTTATATCTTGTAGATTTCATTTTATCACCACTTCTGCTCAAGAATTTAGCCACCTAAAGATACAAACAGACTCATTAATGAATGGTTACAGTTTACCAAGATCTTCCAAAAAAATCCTATGACATTCCTCCTTGCTTCATTAGTCACTTAGTCACCATTAAAAACATTTATTACCAACAACACGTCCATACCATCATTGTACCACACATTGTGTATAACATGTTTAGCTGGATTTTAGAACTCATTCTGTATTTTAATGACTGAACTGCAGGAATGCATGTGTATACAGATTTAATCATTAGAGATTCTACAAAATCAGTATGGCAGAAATATACCTGCACTATCAACAAAGCATACCTATAACAGCTTCCTCAATACAATTATTTCAGGGCACAAATACGTATTTTATTCCCATTAGGCTGATAGGATTTTAAAGTAGGATTTAAAATAAATTTCAATTTATAAATGTTCCAGTTGCCTTTCCAAGTTTGTGGGTTTATTTCTATTCAGGCTTAAATGAATGAGTAAGAATGCCTAGAGCAAAAGGCCAAAAAAAAAACCCATGATACATAACTCTTATAAAAAAAAAGAAAAAAAATTGTTTAAGAGCAAAAAGGACTCAATTAGTAAGAATTTTATATTCATTGTAACACATGTAGTGGGGAAAAAAGGATGAAAGAGATCTTACTATGCCTAAAAAAAACCCTGGCAGCACCTCTCTTACTGAGACAGTCTTTGTCAGGATATGTTTCCTAATATGATGAAAAAGAGAAGTTTTAAAACCAGCTCAAATATTTGTATTTTGTAGGTAAAGTCATAGGTTTTAGAGGACAGACAAGTGATAGAAGGAAAGCTTTATATTTATCACAAGCAGTAATATACAAAGTAGAAGTTATAGGCTTGGGAAAAAAAAAGTTCTGACAACTGTTAGAGCTCTCCAAGTACAATCTGTAATTTAATTTACCATGCTACTAAGAGTATTTGTTGTTGAACTGTCTTCATAACGGTTTTACCTACTGTCCTGGGCCAGCAGTAGCAGCTGGCCCTGGACATTGCTGAACGAGAAACATGACTGCTACTGCTGAACCCAGGACACCTACACAGCAATGTACTGAAAATATGCAAAATTCTACCAGTATTATTACCAGTATTAAAGAATACTTTGAAACTGTAAAGTATGTGGCCATATTTACAGCCATGCATACCTGCCTTCCCATATTCGGTAGCTGCACTGTCATAATCTGGTTTCCACTTTAAGAATCCAGTTTTCAGACTGAAATGCAAGAGGAAAGGCCTATTAGCAATTAGTGAAGATTTTATGTTTTACCTTCAAAGCACTTCAGATATACTCAAAACTGTAGACTACCTGTGAAAAGAAGCAATTACCTATATGCCAGTAGTATGGTGCCATCGCTACTGTAAAAATAAATGCTGCTTATTGTTCAGAACTGCATAAAGCACTGCAGTGATCTCCCATAGTTATGTCCCCCCTAACATGCTTCCATCATCCCTAGAGTCTTCACAAGTCTAGCTCCTCAACTGTAATTAGTCAACAGAAGAAAAATTATCCCACCTACACCAACACGGCATCTCAAGATTTCTAACACCACAAAACCTGACAATATTTTTTTTGCTACACATCGTAAAGATGTTGGTGTACCTCTACAGCAATTTTTTGCTGCTGAGAATTATCAAAGACTCTCCACTGCATTCACAAATGAAAGCATTTACTTACCAACACAAAGACAAAGCCTTATATATAATTTGTAAGTCTACAATAGGATATGACACTAAATGGCACCATGTGCACTCACAGAACATATATATAGGAAAGAAAAACCCTGCAAAATGAGGTGAGTCACTAGGCAATGCTGACTTCAATATTAGGACTTCTTCAATTCCAAAACAAATATAAAAATTACCATAACTTCACAGTTAACTTCCATATCTGTTGTAAGCAGACACTTCATGCTTAATTTGGAAAAACCATTGTATATAGACTTTGCATTGGTTTTGTTGTTTTACTTGGCCGAAAACCACAGTACCTCTAAATCAAGTCTTTATATTGTGTTGTTTTAAACACAGGCAAAGTCTCAAATGCATTGAGCTGAAATAGACAATGCTTTAATCCACACACAATTTGAGATGTAGGCACCTTTTATTTCAAATGCTTGTCAGGAAAAGCTTAAAATGAATTTCACTGAAAGGCACTTTTGGTCAACTAATTTGAGTAAGATAATCAGATACAGATGTTTTTATTCTGAAGTCTCTCCTCTATCACAGTTTATACTTTTGATCCGTGATTTCCCGATGGCCCGTCACTATTCTTATTAAAATTATAGCATCTTTGGATTAGTCAGATCTATTACATCTACACTGTAGTCTTTGAAATTCAAACTTATAAACAAAATTGCTACATTCAGTGTTAAAATACATATTAAAAGACCATCACATGGAGATATTAAGCCCTCTGTGCCTGCACAGGTCTTGGAAGCCATCTAAAAAGAAACAATGAGAGAGTTCTCATGGCCAGGAAACAAACACACAGCCCATCTCAGCAGGTCTAAACTTTTATTTATCAGAATCCCCATAACGCTTTTCTCCCACTTGTCTTTCTCCCACTGACTTTAGCAGAAGACCAGAAGTGACTCCTTGGCCTTCCAGTTAGGATCAGAGCAATAAAGGCTACATGGCCCTTAAGGAAACTACTCAGGCTCCAGCCCTCAAGGCTCACCGACTTCTTAGTTTTCAGGACTGCTTTACTCTCCCAGATAGGGGAAGAAGGGTGACCTCTAGCACGCAGCCCCTGTAGGGAGAGACCTCTGAGGCAGAACAGAGGCCAAACAGCCATGCTCTTCTACTCCCTCCGCGCCGGCCTACCCCAGCCCCGCACCTCCCTCCCATTCCCCGGAGCTCCCATAACCTGGCACTTGCTGTCCCCCCTCAGCCACTCCGTGCGGCCACCACCCCCCACCAGGCTACCCCTCCTCAAGGCTCCGCGCACGGTACCATGGGAGCTGTAGTTCCCCCGAGGGCAAACGGGCGCCGGCGAGAACTACAGTTCCCCGTCGCGGCCCGGAGTTGGGGGGGGGAATGTCGAGCGGCCGCACTAACCGGGCGGACAGCAGCCCCCGCGCTCAGAGGCCGCGGAGGACGACCGCAGAGGAAAGCAGTGCTATACCGCGGAGCCCCGCTCGAGCAGGAGGCGGTACGCCGCCTCCGTGGGGCAGGAGAGCCGGGCAGGCCTGACAGCCCGAACGATGAACTGGCAACCATCGCACCCGCTCACCAACTTCTCCCCTCCCCGGCCTCCCTCCCCTCCGCTCACTATTTCTCCGCTTTAGCGATGTGCTCGAGTGCTTCGTTGATCTTCTGCGCCGCCATCTCGCTAGCACCCCGCTGCCGCTACGGGACGCCGCAGAGCTCACGGGGCGTCGAGAGGCGGAGCTCAGCTCTCTGTCTCTTCACTGCGCCTGCGCGGCTTTGACGGGGTTTGTTGCGGGGTTGGTAAGGCGGACGTTGTTACGGCGGGTCAGGTGGATGTGGTAGAAAAAGAGTGAAATTTCACGTTAAAATGATTATATAGAGCAAGAGAAATTACTATATTTGAAAAGTTTTTGAATCAATAGTAGACTTCTGTATATTAAAAGAATGCTATAACTTTGCTGTGGTAGCCTCAGCAGTAGAAACTAACATAACGAGAAAGATACAGGATGCCTGGCCTAAGACCTACTAGTTTAGAACAGCGAAGCCTTGTCTAACTGTGCGTCTTGATAATACAGACATTCATAATTTTTGTATTACTTACAAGGAAGCTTTGTCTAGAAATGGAAACCATGTATCTTAAGCAGCAGGAAGTTTCATCTCTGCAATATTGGTAGCTTTGTGAAATCATTGCAACATAAAAGGACAAGACAAGCGAGAAAGTGAGAATGCTGACATCCACATAATGGTTGGGGCCTGTCCAAAGAGCAGAAAGGTGAAAAGAATAAGGGGAGGAAGACTTCTTACTTCATCTGAGGAAGACTCCTTACTTCATCGGGACGACCACCAGAGGGGGCTGCGCAAGCGTAGAAGAGGCTGATGTCGTAATGGACTAATGAAGTAATCCTTAATGCATATGTATTAGTTACGAAATTTTAGTGTATAAATTGCCCCAAACACTGGGGCAGATGCTAGCTTGGGTTACCCTGAAGGACATCCAGCAGGACCAGGAGGAGGTGTAGCCTCTACTGCAGAGCCCAGCTAGTAACTATAATCCCTTCTGAAGAGAGTCATGGTTACTCCTTCAACAAGTGTAGAGATTACAGTCTTCCCTCAATGGCACTGTGAATGAGTTCTCTCTTCTGTATTTGTCTTTGTATTTCATGAACCCTGCTTAAAGTTTACATTTTTTATTCACTTTTCTTTCTAGCACTGTCAAATTTCATTGCATTTGACTAATGACTTCCAAAGTTAAGGTGGGATATAAACCAATACATGGAGTATGATCATATCCACTTGTTTTTTTGGGAAACAAGGTTTTTATTTCCATATACACCAATACAAATCTATAGAAAATGTGTTCCTGAGTGCATCTAATATGCTCCACCCCTGTTGTTCCCAGCAGTGATTCCCAGGATGGAATAATTGGCAATACATTGTTTCATATTTATTTCTTCTTGCCTTTTCCTGTGTGGTGTTAGGTATATGCATAGCCATGTTGTGACCTGAGTTGGAGAACTGATCTGGCTTTAGTTAAAAAAAGAGATAGGTAGAGTCTTGCTGCAAAATAATAGATCTTTACTGAAGGCCTTGTCACACAAAGCTGATTTGGTCAGCATCTTTAAGGGGTGTCAAGTCTCTTTTACCCAATTTTGTGACATAATTTGGCATATATTTCTTTTTCTGTCAGTAGTAGCTTCATTATCTCCCAGTCCTCATTATGCAAGAATGTTCACACCCAGCCCTGCTACTCTGCATTGTTCCAGCACAAATGTTTGTGTGGTCTCTCAGTGAAGAGATTCTTACTTTCTTGTCTAGGTTCTTCTTAGCAGGCTCTGTTCCCTCAGGCAATTTACCAAGCAGTCACACCTGCACTAAAAGGGAGTCAGGAGTATCTTATATGGTGGGAGCATGAATTGCTTAATTTAAGTACATGCTAAATGTGTAATCATAGATCTACTTTAGCTTCTGTTTCTGTTGATGAAGCAACCTCTTCAAGATCAAGCACATACACCATTTAAAGATGTGATACCTTTTGTGCTCCAACTTTTCAACTCCAGGACCTCTGGAAATCTCTCCCCTTTTTCTTCATTCTCCTACTTTCTGAACTGTTCTCCACATAAGGCTATTACATCAAACTCTCTTGGTAGGAAGCCAATTATTCCTCTCACAGAATCCATCCAGTGTTAATGGCTTTTGAGGGCTCCTTCATTGCTTAACCACAAGATACTCAGTGCCTCATGGAAGTAATGTGGAAAATGAAGTATGACATTTAGCATTGTTCCCCAAATCAAGGCATTCATAACTTGACATGAGCATGTAATGGACTAATGAAGTAATCCTTAATGCATATGTATTAGTTACGAAATTTTAGTGTATAAATTGCGAACGCGATGTGACGGGGTCGAAGCCAGATTTGGGTGCGTGCCCCTAGTTTCCCAGCGCTGCAGTAAAGCACCTCATATAACCATTCCGGTGGTTATGTGTCAATTCTTACACTAACAGATATACGGGTCGTAGACCCCAGTTTTTGGTAAGGGAGATTGTCCTGCTCTTTTCTCAGCAGCCATCTGGATGGTATCACCTGGCAGAGTTTGCGCAGGTCAATAGTTGCCTGTTGTGTTGGGCTATGCCTCTCTCAGGGAAGGAGCCCCTAGCCCTGGTCTGTCCAGTTTCTGGTAGAAATGCACAACTGAAGGGCCAAAGGCTGAAAAGCTCTGGTTGCTCTGTTCTGAGAGAAGCCTCCAGAGGCCTGTTTGCTGAGGCGTACTCCTTTGACTCACCTCAAAAAACAAGCAGCAGTCCCCAGGCTGGCACAGAAATCTAAATCTGAAGTGAGTGGTGGTTGAGCATCCAGAGTTGCTAATGCAGGCTACGCAATCATGAAAGATACCAAAGTTACACACTTGGTAATTGGATTGACATTACTGCCCATTCGTCCAGTTTCCTTCACTCCTTATTTTTGTTAATTTGAAACATCCTTGAGTAACAAAAAACTGGCGATAGAGCACAGGAAGGTGTTTATTCTCATTATTGTATTTCCACAGTCTGAGTAAGAGAAGTATTTATCAACACAAGAGAGAAAAAGAAGCTGGTTAAACTTGCAAAACTCTTTATCAAAGCATAGGAGTTATTGAAAGCCCATACAGCTTACAGGAATCAGAGTTGTCCAATTTTTTCTACCTCAAATGGTGACAAGAAGCATTATTTACATGTTTGTGTTTACTCTAGGTAGGCATCAAACTCACAGGTCTGAATTGCTCTCACTTCGTTTTCCTTTTCCCACATTCCCTTGACAGGTAAACTTAATTTTCTAACTTTGATTCTTACACACATTTGAGAGGCTATCATTTATCATGCAGGTGGTAGAAAATACAAATTGGCAAGTGCTCACTGGTAGCAGGTAAAAAGTAAAGGAACCTATGATAGAGATTCCTGTGTCATTTCTTCTGTCCATCCTTTCCCTTGCTATGGCAGCCAGGATAGATCTGGCTATATAACTATGAGCTTACTGCAGTGCCTATCAAATAAACTTGTGTTAGCTGGGAAAATGAAATCGTAGAACTGTAGCATTAAAGGACAGAGTTATCTCAGAGTGTGTCTCTAAAGCACCCAGTTAATGACTTATTGTTTGTGTGTTTGTGCTCCTGATCTGCAGTGTTCCCTGGGTTATAAACGGCTGTTCACTTTCTAGTGAAACTACATGTGTGTACTGTCTGGTTACACTTTATACCAGAATGACCAGATGAAAGATTTCCAGGACTACTATTAAATGAAAGAGGATATTCCTGAGTAGCTTTTATATTGTAGACATGGAACCTCTGGAGGTTTTACATCTGGGAAGGATCATATCACAGCATCTGGTACTTAGCTGTGATTTAGAATTTAGTGTTGAAAAATTACCAGGTACAATGAGAAAAAAATATTGCAGTGATAGCTGTTATAGTTTTCAAACTTTTTAAAGTATAAGCTTACAGGTTTTGTTTACTAGGCAGATATGAACTCTACAAATAGCTGTACTAGTAGAAGCTATTGATCATTAACCAGTCCTCAGCTGCCCATCACTACAACTTGCAGATGGTTTTTGTCTCCTATCTAAGCATTCCCATAGGTGGTAGTAGAGGCACAATAGCCTTGAGTTGAAGAAGGAAGAGCTTAAACTACAAGAAGTTCTTAGAGAAATGTGATTCAAGTAGTCTCCCCTGGCCCCACTCTTTAACATTAATTGGAATTATGCCACATATCAGTAGCAATAAAGATATCCTTATCCTTCTTGGCATCTTTTTCTTCTGCTATTTGGGTAAGGAAGTAAACCCTTTCTCACTGAATCTGTGGGGCCTCTGCTGGGATGAGGGAGTGTCAAGGCCAGGGACATGGTTGAGTCACCATCCGCCCAGAGGTAGAAGTCACATGTACGGCTTAGTGTTGAACTTGGCAGTGCTAAGCTAACTGTTGGACTTGATGATCTTAAAGATCTTTCCCAACCTAAGTGATTCTGTGGTTCTGAGATTCTGTTTTTTCATGTACACTGTTGCAACCATAGGCATCAGGTTATCAAAAATGAGATGCACAAGCTGATGGAGCTTGTTCTGGCTGAAATGGGTTAAAAAGCACTTGTGTGAGATTTCATGTGGCTAATCTCTGGCAGGAGGCTGCAGGCAGGCAGCTGGGGACAGCATCTTCCACCATTATGGCTGGGTCCATCCACAGCCTTGGCATAGTGACAGCCTGGGCTTCCTTTAGAGAGCTGTTGTTAGTTGTGAGACTAGCAGTATGACCATAGTTAAATTTGTTTGCCAGTTAACTCTTAAATTTTATTTGCTGTAAATATCATGTTCTTGTGCAGAAAGTCAGGATTAACTGCAGTGAGCTGTATTTTAAATCAGCTGCTGAGTCCTGTGTGCTACTCCACTGGACCTGGAAGGTGAAATTTAGTTTTCCTAGATCGGGATTTCCCAGCTCTGTCAGATAACATTTTTTGGCAGCAGGACATGGAATGTTTTACTTTGTAATTTATTAGTGCCTGAGTTGGAGTTGTAACTACAATAGCAACAGCTATGCCACCACACTGAGGAAATAACCAGTGAGGCAGGGAGAGGGTTCTGCATATTCATACTCCCAGGCAGACTGCTACTAACACTAATGGTTTAGGGAACAATTGGCTTAGACACATTTGTGCTCATTAGATACACAGAAATGTGTTCTGTGATCACTCCATCCCAGTGGCTGCATCTCTGTGCTCAAGTAAATTTTCTTTTCCCGTCTTCAGCAT